ATATAATCTTTCCTTAAACATCAAAGTATTATCATCTGCTATGGCAAAATCCTTCATTTACTTGTACCAACGTTTGCCTTAATCTTTCTCAAGAATGGGTCATTGTCTTAGGCATCTTTGATTTGATCCCTAAGTGTATGTTGGATTTTTAATTTCATAATCTTTGTAGTAACACAAGCTAGTGGGATGACAACTTCTAATTTCAATTTCTCAAATTCATTTACCAACTATCCTTGAGTTGTGGTAGAGATGCGAACTGTTCCACTATCTTCTTAATAAGGGCATCGACGACTACACTAGCCTTACCCAGATGGTAATAGATAGTTCGGTCATAATCCTTAATCAAGTCCAACCACCATCTCTATCTCATATTCAACTTTTTCTAAGTGGAGAACTATTTCAGGCTCTTATGATCCGTATAGATGTCGTACTTTCTCTAGTAGACATAGTGACGTCATATCTTTAGAGCATGTACCAGCTTCGTCGATTCTAAATCGTGTGTGGGGTAGTTTTGCTCATGTTGTTTTAACTTTCTTGAGGCATAAGCCGTCATCTTTCCATTTTGAATTAATACACACGCCAAACCCAATTTGATGCATCATTATATATAAGAAATCTATCTGAACCCTCTGGTACAGCTAACAATGGAGCTGTAACCAATTTCTCTTTGAGATTTTGAAAACTCTTCTCACACTTCTCAATCCACTGAAATTTCACCAATTTTTTGATTAGTTGGTTCATTAGCCCAACTACCTTAGAAAATCCTTCGATAATAACTACCCAATTCCAAAAGGCTACAGACTTCACCTATATTCAACAGTTTAAACCATTTGGTTACCGCCTTAACTTTAGTAGGGTCTACTCTAATCCCTTGCACATAACTACATGACCCAGAAAACCTATACGATCCAGCCAAATTCAAGAAGTGTGAATTTGGCATATAATTTCTCCTTAATGTTTCCTATACTATGTTAAGTTGTTCTTCATGTTGCTTATTGTTCCTTGAATACACCAAAATATCATTGATGAAGACGATGATATATTGATCTAGATACTGATGAAATACCATATTCATCAAATTCATGAACATTGTGGAATCATTCGTCAATCCAAAAGGAATCACAGTGAACTCATAATGACCATAGCAAGTTCTAAATGTCATCTTTGAAATGTCATTTGCCTTCACTTTCTGCTGGTGATAACCTAACCTCGAGTCAATCTTGAAAAATACCGTTGTATCCTTAAACTGATTAAAATGTCATCTTTCATTTTTACAAATAATACTTGTGTACCCCAAGAAGATATACTTCGTCGGATGTAACCTTTGTCCAATAATTCCTATAGCTATATCTTCGACTTTTGTAATTCATTTGACACTATCCAATTTGAGATTTAGACATTGGCACCACTCCATGAGATCAATTGTAGACTCCACTTGTCTAATCTGGTGGAGTGTCAAGTAGGTCATCTAGGAATACATCAATAAAATCTCGTACAATTGGTACCACATTGGTAGGAAGCTCTATTTGCTGAGTTCCAAATATATTCACTAAAAATCCAAAGCAAGATTTCTGTTTAAACATCTTCTCTGCCTTCACGACCAACGTGGTTGCTCCTCAACCAATCCATTCCCAAAAGGGATAATTGTAGCAGCGATACCAAACCATTCATTTAGAAGCAGACTTTACCTAAAGATTTCATTTGTGCCACTCACGATACCAACCTTTTAGAAATTCTCACCTAGAGTCTAAATGGATGGTTTCAGTTAGTTTGACCGTTAGATGATCAGAATAATAAAATTTAACTTAATTTAACCAATTTTTAAAAGGGTAACATTGTAAATTTATAATTTACAAAAAAAAAACATACTTAAATAAAAAAATTAAAAAACAAAAAACAAAACAAAACCACACCCACCTACCCTCATCTCCTTCTTCCCCAACCCCCTCATTCAAAAACCAAAACCAGCCTCACTCAGCCGTCAGCCGCCATTGTCTCAACTTTCAGCCCTAACATCGCCTCAAAACTAGAACACGACATGTTGACCTTATGCTTCAGCGATCATAACAATTCCAAAAACCCCAAATTTAAAATGTTAAGAAGCCATATCTCTCCCCAATCCCCTCGTGAGGAAGGTACAAGAATTGGAGCGCATGGTACATTGGCAGCAGTAGAATTGAAGTGTTTTGAGTTTTATTTCATTACTTACTAATGCTCTAAGACTGATTGATGTATAATGAAGAGAAAGTGGGATGTTTCCACTACCCAGATGCTCGGAAAGGGCATGGTACTGTGAGTCCTCCTCTTTGTACTAAAGAAGGGTTTCCTAGAAGAACGTGTCTTCATCGAACTCCTCTTCTTCCACGGATGTGAGTTGCTTCTATTGGGGTGACGGTGTCAGAATATGAGGTGTTGGGTATTTCAGGTGTTGTCATTGGTGCACATGGGTTGTGGTGGTGAGGGGTTTTGGCAGGGAAATGTGAATGGTGGGTTGGATGGCGGTGACAGTCGACGACCTAGGTAGCGGTGATTTTGGGACAAGGGAAGGGGATTGTATGGAGATGGGAAAGATGGAGATGATTTGGATGGGTGGGTTTTTTTATTTTTTTATTTAATTATTTTAATTTATATGAAAAATGTAAATTTACCCATTTACCCTCTAAACATTAGTCAAAATTTGGTTAGACCATGGACTTTTGGTCAACTAATGGTCAAATTAATGGAAACCGTCCATTTGGACTCCACGTAAAAATTTCTAAAAGGCTTGGTACCATGGGTAATACAAATGAAAGGTTTGGATAAAGTATGCTACTAAATGAAAGGTTTGGTATTGTGGCTCCAATTTTTCCTTCTCAATATAACATCAATGCCTTTCATGTCTTGGAGATATATAAATTTTTAATTCATTTCCATCAATTTCTAGTTTTACTGCCCTAGCTATCTGATAGGTCAAAGTTCTACCTGATGGGATAATAACTTCTAGAATGAAATCTGATTTCTCATATATTATACATGATTTAGTAATAAATGCGGTAAAGATAAATGAATGAGTAGCTCCTGAGTCTATAAGAACATGTACAAGTAGTTCAGATATTGATAAAATACCTGCTATTACGTTCGGATCCTCTGTTGCCTCTTCCTGGGAAAGTAAAGACTTAAACCTTTCTCTTCTTGCCCTGCTCATAGTCTTTATTAGGTATGTATGTCTTGCAGTCGAGGGCAAAATGCATTTCTCGCCACATCGATAGCACACATTCTTTCCAAACCAACATTATCCCCATTGGCCTTATTGCATTTTGGGGGGTTTTTACAAATTTATTTTTAATCACATTCTCTCAATAAAATAATTTTACATTTAAACCTAAATTTTTTCTATTTTTAACACAAATTATCCAAATAAACACTTTTTACAAAATTTGTTCTAAAAATGCGTGGCTCAAATATGGACAAAATGATTAACCTCATTTCAAAAATTGTCAGCGCCACACATCTTAATCGCAATCCCATTCTGGGCAAAAAAAACAAAAAAAAACAAAAAAGATGACAAAAACCTACAACGTCAAAGTAGAGGATAAGTAATCAAGCAGGTACGTATGACCAATACATTTTAAGCGAAAATAAAAGTGAAAAAACAATGCAGTTCAATTCCAAAAAATTAAACGAATAAATCACAACATTCGATACTTAAAATCAATCTTTGTTATTGGTCATTTCGAATAACAAATAGAGAAAACTCACACAAATTAAAGAAAACCAACATGCATAGCAATACTGAAACGTCTCAGGACAAAATTTGCTCAATAGTAAGTGAGAAGAATAATGCCATTCAGGTAGAGTGATGCTCATTAGTTTATGCGACAACGAGACAATTGTAGCATTGTCCCATAAAGTTGGAACATACATTTTTATTGAAGAATATAACAATGTCCTCTCTATATAAATCGATGATGATCATAACTCTAAATGGATATCATTGCTCAGGTGAGGAAGGGTTTATAAAAGAGATGGAGGTAGAGGACGTTAGAAGATAGATACAACTCTGTGTGTGTGTGTGTGTGAGAAAGAGAGAGGAGTGGGTGCGGGGACAGACAAATTGTGTGTTTGTGAGGATGTGCGTGTGTGCGCGTGAGAGAGAAGGTTGGACTAACTAATTTTAATTCAGCCCCTATTTGTTATCCATTTTATCAAACATTATTTCCTACAGTAAACAATCTCCACCATATATTCACTAAATAAAATATTCTACACACAAATCAACAAAATTATTTTACTTTTCAACCACATATTCTCCAAAAAATGCTATTCAAAACTCTATTTCTTCTAGTCGAAGTGATATATCACCTTAGTCGAGGAGCTATGCAGAAGCTAACCCTCCATGACAGAGGCGAGGTGCCACGACCACTACAATGCAATTTTGATACGACTAGCCTCTTAGCATACGTAGACATCTTGTTTTGTCTCATTCAAGAGATCTTTCTTACATGGTCTTCTGCAATGGATTGATGTGTAACGCCCGAAAATTTTATAATGAAAAAAAATTAGTTGTTTTATGTATTATTATTTTGAAAGTTGAGGGATTAAAGTGAAATATGTTTTAAATTCTTATGTTTTTGGATCAAATATTTGGATTTTGATAGAGTGATGATAAGTATATCAATATTGGGCTCGTTGAATAGATCGTAATAAATTGTGAGAAAATTACCTCAAAACCTACATTTAAAGATTACATTTCAAAAAACAAGGGATTAAGTTTTATTTTCACAAATCAGGTGATAAATAGGATTATTAATTCTAATTAATAAAAATTTAATCAATCATTCATCCCCAAACCCGATTCATTCTCTTCCTTCTCTCTCTCTCTCTCTCTCTCTCTCTCTCTTATTCTCTCTCTACCCCACCCAATTTTCGGCACCGCTGCTCGTGGCGGAGCAATCCCAAACCCGATTCATTCTCTTCCTTCTCTATATCTTCTCTTTCTTTACCACTCACTCCTCCCCCAGTGTATACCATCACTTCCGGCACCGCTACGTGCGGCGGCTCTGCTCCGTCGCTAGCAGCGGCACAACAAGGCCCCATACTACCGTCGTCCGGCGTTTCCAACTGGAGCATTGATTATTCCAGATCAACTGAAGACGAGGATGAGGAGGAGGCTGTTAGATCTGCTGCTATTAACCAGGAAATAAAGTGTGCTTTTGAAGGTTGCTGGTGAATGGATCTGAGTCATGGATCTTGAATGAAGAATGCAAATAGATCGAGACTGGTTAGAAGGAAAACGTGAGGCGATGCTGCCTTTATAACATCTCCTTAAAAAATGTATACCGTGGAAGAATTACTATGGTTATTTTGTTATTTTCTCCTAATGTTAAGGGGAAAAGAGGAGAAGGTCTGGCTGGGAATGTAGTTTTCATTACCACATACATGTAGATTATTGACAAGATTATGAAAGCAAAATCCTGATGCAGAAGAGACTACGGTGATTACTTCAAGTGCATTTAGATGTCTAAAAGCAAAGAAACCTCGTCTAGTAATGAGGAATTTTGTGGGCTTTAAGGTTATTGTCTTGTTGAGGTCTGTTCTTGAATCTGTTCTTTAGGTCACACTGAACATTAATTTGAAAACAGTTAGTCACATTAATTTGAACATTAATCTGTTCTTTAGGTCACACTGAACATTAATCTGTTCGAAAGGGAGAATATTGTGACCTTTCGTGACCATTTGTGACCGTTTGTCACCGACCGAGACCGTCTGTGACTAATTATTTGTGACTTGTTGTGACCAACTGTGACCAATTATGACCGATTGTAACTTGAAATTCTGGAAATTTTTTGGAAGTTGGGAATTGGTAGATGGGGTGGGTAGGTTGATCGGAGCATAGTTTGCCAAAGGGATCGTGAATAGCAGCCGGAGAGATCCCCAGAACTTTTGCCGGAGCGGCAGCCGGAGTTGATGGCCGCCTCCGATGGAGAAAAGGGGTAGGAGAGGACCGCCGGAGCAGTCGCCGGACGTCACCTGAGCGGGGCCGGAGATGGAGGGAAGATGGTATAATGGGGTGGGTGATGTGTCATGGGTAAACTGTAAATAATTAATATATATTATATTTAATTTAATATTTAATAAATCTATTTTTTATCAAAAAAAAATAAAAATAAATCTATTTACCACCTAATTTTTGAAATAATTAGACAAATTTGTTAGTTTTGAAAAGTAATTCTTAAATGTAGGTTTTGTGTATTGTTCCCATAAATTGTGCATATTAGGCTCAAGAAAAAGTTATTTCGGATAAGTCAGGCCCAAGATATTGAAGATCAAATAAGTTACCTCTAATGATAATTAATTAAAGTTGGTTCCATGATTTCACGTGTATGATAAATATTTTTGTTAAATATAAATTTTTTTATTAGGATAAATGATAATTGTTAATAATAATCTTTTGATATAGTTTAATATTAATCGTAATTTCTCTACGTTAAAACTAGTTCTTATCCAAATGACTCTTCAAATTTTTATGGCATCAAAACTCTTATTGTTATTGATTGGAATTAAAATGATAATCTCCACTTTCATTAGAAAATACCGTATTGATTATCTCCAAATTTAGTTTTTAGCCAATTGAATGATTAGGATATATTTAAGCATAATTATATTTAAACGTTTTGGCTTATCAAAAAATTTAGATCAACCCATCAGCCTGCGTGTATGTTTTTGTACAGAGATGAATTCAAATTTCATTACATGATTGGTTGGTTGACTTGTATTGAAAACCATTCATATTCAAAGCCTACTTTAAACCAAACTCTTTCAATTCACGGTTTCCAACTTTACATGCAACTTCTAGGTCATAATTACCTATATATATAGGCATGATGGTGGAGTTTTTACACACACAATTACATATATAAAGGATGAGTCGTATTTTTGACGACTCCCACCTGCTCTGCCCTGAGTTTTGGTGAAAGAAGTAAATCGCAGGTTATGCCTCTAACGGTATAGGGTGGAAAGTTGCTTGTACACTTGTACTTACCCAAAAGCCAAATCCATATTTCAGGATTCGAACCCTTGACACGACAGCCTTAAATTAAGTTGGAGTTTTTTCACCTTCTCCTTCTACCACTTTGAGATGTGCCCTGGGGCACACAATTACATATATACACATACGGTGGGGGAGAGAGAGAGAGAGAGAGAGAGAGTAATGTTGAAAATTAGAAAGTTTACATACATCAAATATTATTGTCAACACTTTCACAGAAGCAGAGATTTCGAGAAAAGAATTTGGGCACGTGCTTTCATATTTCGTTCAATAATTCATTTGACGAGATAGGATACTATGTGCAAGTTGACATGTCCTTACAATATTATAATTTTTTTACGTAATTTATTTAATGAAATCCTTATTGACCTTCGGGCTTAATGAAATAAAATGTCGGATTTCCTACGGATTTTCTCAAATGATTGCACATAAATGTCTTAGAGCATTCAATTGGTCTCCAACTTCTCTTGATGAAATGGTGGTGTGGAATGTCATAAATTTATGTTTAAAAAAATTTATTATATTGTCTGGGACTTACGTATCCTACTGGGCTAAAAATACTAATTCCTTCAAAAATTTAACTTTTCAGGTGAGATCAATTTAACGTGGATGGTGAATAAATGGCGCACGGGTTGCCAAGTAAAACATTTTCAAGAAAATCATCAGTAATTAGTTTTCTTTTCGTTTAGAGATTTAGTATTTCTTAGATTTCCAATGAATGCTTTAAGTTCCGTGATTTAACGTTTTTGGTATGATTTAATTCGATATTATGAAATTTTAAATTTATTAAAGTTTAAATTTTCAATTAAATATTTCTGCTTCATGTATGATTATGAAATGATATCAGTAACACCTCAAAATTTAAGTCAATAAAATTTGGGGTGTTACATAATGTGATCTCTCTACAGCTAGGGATGGCAAAAAAGATCATCTGCTCGGGCGGCTCGGGCTCGATTACACCGAGCTGAGGCTCGGCCGGCCCGAGCGAGGCTGCCATTTTAAAAAAAAATTAATTTTTTTAAAGGAGCTGCCTGCAAATTTTAGCTACCTGCAACAGTAGCTTGCAGGCAGCAAGCTATTGTTGCTGCCTTTGCAGGCAGCTATTTTTAGCTGCCTGCAAAAGCAAAAAAAGGCTGCCTACTGCACCATTTAAAAAAAAATCAATAATCAAAAAACCCGAGCCGCTCGGCCCGGGCTCGACTCTGCCCGCTAAGGCTCGGGTTGAAAGCTCGGGCCGAGCCTCATTTTTTTTGGTCGGACTCTGCTCGGGCCCAAAAAAGCTCGAGCCGAGTCCGAGTTTTTTTTTCGGCTAAGTTGGCTCGTTGACATAGCTATCTATACCTGGTCACACTTAACTAACATGCCAGTCTACTTTTTAGATATCAACCTAAACTATATGTTGATAATTTTTCAGAATCATCAAATACCCTTTAAACCTAGTACTGCATAAGTGACACCTAAAAGAAGATGCATCAACCGCTAAGCTGGGATCGAGTGTCTTTCATCCAAAGGTAACCACTTCACATTTTTTGCTATAAAAGCTCCCACTTAGGGTTTGTCTGGGAGAAATTCTTTGAAGAGTTTTATTGACCGTTGGTGTGGACAAATGGGTCAGATTTTGCAGCAACTGTTGACTTCATTATTTTATAAAAAGGACAAGAACTAATGAAATAGTTACACCTATTAAATGTTAGCATTATTTGTACACATTTCATCAGCCATCATTTTTTACTATTCCTGGAACGCGAATTTGTCAGTTGTTAACGGTAAGAAAAAAGATAAAAATTGCTTAAGAATTGCTCCCAGACAGGCTCTTAGTGTTATTTGAAAGTAATGCAATTTTACACTTTCAATCTAGTAACTATACACATACTTGTAGTTCACGTCTTCCGTTCATCCTACATTCAAATATATAAGTTGATTACCTTGAGTGTCATAGTATTTGAGGTCGTCTCCTTACCATTGAAGAATGCCACGTGCTTTTAACAATTTGTCTAAGTGTGCAGGAGCTTTACTCGTGAACATGAGCAAAATCGGGATTTGTTGGCTATGTCATTGAGATCAATACAATCTTTGGTCCTTTGTAGAGTAGATCAAAATTATTATTTAAATCGGTAAATCAAGAGTAGCCAAAATCTAAATTCTTATCATTGGAGTTATGATGTGGGTCGGTTCGATCCCTTTGGTGGCTTCTAACTAAAAGAGGTACAAATATGTATTATATAATTTTTTGAAGACTACATAAAATTGTTTCACAAGTTGGATAGAGGACATGAGAATAAGAGCCTGTTTGATTCTCATTATTGTAGAATGAGAATGAAAATATAGCCATTATTGGCCCCACACAAGAAATAAAAATTCAAATTGATGGCTTGATGTGATAGATAATGGTCAAATTTTTCATTTTTATGGATGAAAAATTAGAAACAAACGGAGGCTAAGACAGAGTCCAAGTGCTATCATATCATACATCTAAAGGGCAATAGCCACCACAAGCAAAAATAAAAAATCTGGCCAGAGGCTAACGAATTAAAAATATTTGGATTTCTAGCTTTCTATCAAGACTAGAGAGTCGCGACAAAATTTCCATTTCTTCTATGGATAACACTTTCCAAGACCTTAGAAGTAGGTCTTCTATATTTGTTATTTATCGAAACAACTAAATTCTCATTTAGAATGTATTTGATGGATATTATTGAGAAAATAATGTATTTTAAATAGTGATATGATGATAAATATGTGATTAAAAAGTAAGAAATGTTATTAATGTGATGAAAAATATGATTATATTGAAAAATGTGTGATTGAAAATGAGTTTTGAAAGAATATATTTTTAAAGAATATATGTCAAACAGGGGTTTAGGAAAGTCATCATGAATAGGGTAAAATAGAATACAGTTAGCCCAACTAATTCAATTAGCTAATAAAGTACACAACTTGAGTTCATGGTCCACCCTATTCCCATTTTTGAGAATAAAAACAACATGGACCACAACTCCCATTCCTAAATGAGGACTCTGAGCTACACGTAATGAATATCATTTTGCAGTCGCAATCTCGAGCCCATTTTCACAAGCAAACCAGAGTTTCTCTCTTAATGCAACGGCTTCCACATCTTCTGGTTTAGAAGAACCCAACCACTCTTTTCATATTAGTCTCAACCACACACCCCAAATAATCCACCACCATAGCCTCAACGCCAACACTCCCTCAAGCTTTCTCATTGCAATATGGATTTATAACTCAAGTTGTGCCACATGAAGGAGGTGATCAATGGTGCTGCACAAACCCACTATTTACACCTTTTGCACTCGCTCTCCCCCCTCTCCCTTCACCAAAAGTTCCCCCACCCAACCTAGACCTAGCAACGCCATCATGTAGTCCCCAAGTTTGCTCTCCTCTTAACACCCAAAATATACAAAATATCCTTGCCCCGTACCCACTAAAACCTCCACAACTTACCCTCCCATAGTGTGTCCATCAAAGTTCACAATTAAGTCGATAAAAGAGCTACCACTTCGTACGTTTTGAAATTCTCTGCAGTTGTAATTTCCCTCACACTTTTTTCATGCACTAGTGAAAATATTTTTCACACTTCACGAAACTCAGGTCTATGATAGTTTTCTCATTAGAAAAAAAATTGCTTCTTTTTTAGTATTGGCAATTCAGTGGTTTTCGACAAGATTGTCCCAACAATCATGGTTTCTATTAAACCCTGATTCCGTGTCAAATGCTCCCATTCTACTCCTGCTTGCAGTTAGTGCCTATATATATATCCTCTCCACCTAGTCGATTTATTCCGAGTCCATTCGCTATCTACCATGCTTGAAATTCCCGTACATATGAAATAGAATCAATAACAATTTCATTTATTGTTCGTCCTTTCTAATTTCCAAACACAAAATTGTCCTAATTCATTCAACAGTTTCACACCTTAATGCCCCGTTTGTCTCTCATTATTCCAAAACATTGTTTGTTATAGTAAGATTTTTCACCACACATTCACCCAATAAAATGGCTTAATAGCACAAAACATCTATATGTTTCATTTTTTTGCATTTTCGCCCTAATTTCTACGTTTCATTGCACAAAACGTCATTTTCATTGTTTTTAGTATAAAATGACCAATATTCTCTTCTATATAAATAAAACAAAAAAAGGAAAATAAAAATAAAAAAATGAATTGTAATTATACTCCCAAACTTTTTAAAAAGTGCAAGTGAGTCCAAAAGCCTTATTAAAAAGTTTAAGCACAAAACGTCCATACGTTTGACACTTATTGTAGAAAACGTCCTTACGTTTCAAACTTTTTGTACTTGACTCAGTAGCACAAAATGTCCATTTGTTTGACATTTATTGTGTAAAATGTCCTTACGTTTCATTTCTTTTATATTTTCGTCCTTATTTCAACATTTTATTGCGGAAAACGTCAATTTCACTATTTTTGAATGTAAAATGATCAATATACCATCATATTTAAATAAAATAAAAAAATGAAAAAAGGAATAAATTTAATGGTAGTGGGGTCTAGTGGTTTAGGTAGTGGAGGGAGGAGAATGCGGAGGGAGGAGGGGAATGCTGATAGTTTGAATGTTTTAATAAGGTTTTTGAACTCATTTGCACTTTTTAAAAAGTTTGGAAGCATAATTGTAATTCTTTTTTCATTTTTTTGTTTTATTTAAATATGAGGGTATATTGGTAATTTTACATTCAAAAAAATAGTGAAAATGATTTTTTCGCAATGAAACGTTGAAATAAGGACGAAAATGTAAAAGAAATGAAACATAAGGACGTTTTACGCAATAAGTGTCAAACATAGGGACGTTTTGTACCATTGAACCAAGTACAAAAAGTTTGAAATGTAAGGACGTTTTCCACAATAAGTGTTAGATGTAAAGACGTTTTATGTTTAAGCCTTTTAATAAAGCTTTTGGATTCACTTGCACTTTATAAAAAGTTTGAGAGTATAATTACAATTTATTTTTTTATTTTTATTTTTTGTTTTACTTATATAGAAGGGTATATTGGTCATTTTACACTAAAAAACAGTGAAAATGACGTCTTCCGCAATAAAACGTTGAAATAAGAATGAAAATGCAAAAAAAATGAAACGTATGAACGTTTTGCACATTACATGCCAAACGTAGGGACGTTTTGTGCTATTAAGCCATAAATATATTCTACAGATAGATCAATAAAATTACTTTAATTTTTAACTACATATTTTTCAAAAAATACTATTCATTACTTCATTTCTTCTACAATAATGAGAGATAAACACACTAAAGAGAAGCCGTTCCATTCCATTTATAAACAAGGTCTACCGTACTTACTTTTTTCTTAAAAAAAAACGAAAAAAAAAAATGCTTCTTTTTTAAGTACGACCAAATAATTGTCTGAAAATCACACACACACGGTCAGGTGGGGAAATCTTTCCTATAAGCGCATGGGACGGGGGACCAAAAGTGTTTAAAAAGTGGAGAGAAATCCTTCCCTCCTCTGCTCTAGTTTCAAAACTCACCTCCCGCCATTGAAAGAAACCCTTATATAACTGGTCATTACTGATTACTGAGAGATTGGTCAATTGTTGGGCAGATTTCATTCAGACACTAAAAGCCCAAAAAGAAAAGTAAAAGATTAGGGTTCTAGGAGGCGGCACTCAGGAAAAATGGGATCTGCTGCTCTGTCAGAGTCGATGGATTCCGATGCCGGTAATTTTTTTCGTCTCTCTTTTGCTTATGTATGCGTTAATTAGATGTTAATGTGTGTGCGTGGCTTACCTGAAATCAAATTGAAAATGACGATTGCATTCTTTTACATCGATCTGACGTTGTACCTTGATAACAATCTGTTTGACATGTATCTTGATGAATTTACTGTTGTTGCAATATGTTTGTTTGCTTGATATAGATATCTAGGATATGTAGCCACAGTAATTTCTGTCTGCATTTTGAAGCAGGGGCGGAGCTGCCTCCTGAGTATTTTTTTTGTTTTTAAAAGAATTCATAAATTTTTTTGTCATCATTTCAAGATTTACATGCTAGTATTCCAGATCTTCCCACGTTTCAGCCTTTTTCTCTTCCCTTAAATCTGAAATCTCATTCCGTAATTGGCAAAATCCCAAAATCAAATCTTTTGGCCCTTCAATCTCTCTCCAACTGATTCTCTACTCTCTCACATTCTCCTTCTTCAGTTTGGGTCTGTCGCTTCCTTCCAAATCCATTTGGCTGCTCACCAGTGACTTGCTAGGGTTAATACTTGTTTGCCAGTTTCCTTTCTATTTTCTGATTTTGTTAATAGTTTAATTTATTTTACGGTTGACCTAAACTGATTATGATTTGTTTGACTCTAAATTCTGTAAAGCTATTGATAATTCATGTCTTGACTTTTAATTTTATAGTAGATCACTTATGCAATTAATTATGTCTGCTGTCGTAAGGTAATTATTGAACTTTCTTATTAAACTAAAACAATCTAGAACAAATAGTAACTAAAAGCAGTTTTTGTGTGCAATTATTAATGAATCTTGGGTTACTTCTTACCACTGCCCTTGTTTGCACGTGCTGTCTGAAAAGAAAGACCATCAAAAAGTAGCTTTTTTAGACCACGTAGTACTGACAAATGGTGAAGCATATGTACATGCAAGCATATATTGGTTGTATGGCTGACTTCGAAAGCCTCGCATGAATTAAATAAAACTGTGCTTGTAGGTATCCTGTGCTCATGTCCAGTTCATTAAATACTTATGGCACCTTAGAACTTGATCGTGTGGTCGAAATATTAACTCTGCCAATATTAAATGTCAAGTAATGTTGGACAAACTTTTAACGCTATTAGTTGGTGTTATACGCATTATCCACTTACAAACGTCCTAAATTTAAAACTTTACTTGTACACAAAATGGTTGATTAGAAATCAATTAACGAGATTTACTGTATTCACAAGATAACATAATTATAGCTACAATTATTGTTACTGTTGTAATGATTCCTTCGTAGGTACATGAACCAACCATCTTCATGCAACAAAGATTAATTATTGACTTAATAAGCTTACTTTGAAGGATTTTACTGTTGTCTATGAAAAATTTTCTTGAGCAGAGATCGCTTACGAGATCAAGTTCACTATGGCTAAGGTGCCCCTATATTGCCACCTGAAAATTCTAGGACTTGGTCCTAGGATGAAGCATGCTGACTTGCTAACTGTGGGTTCTTTTAAACAATTTCAATTAGTGGGATGATAGATGTTTCATATAGCACATGCTATGGATAAGCCCATGTAAATTATAAGTAGGTCTCAAATTTAGAAGAGTATTATATTTGTGCAAGTGCTTCTTTCGTCCTTGCATTTTATGGAATTTGGTGACAAACAACTATTATGATCAATGTTTTAGTGTTTCCCTGTCCTAAATTTGATGTTACTTCTAGAATGAAAGGGTTTCTGGTTGCCTGACTTTTCATTAAAGCCTGTGTTACCAGTATGATCAATCTAGGAGCTGTTTAGATGCTTGATGCTGGTCTTTTTCTCAAGTAACATTGTTGTGTCGACATTGTGATATTTTTTATTTTTATTGTTTATCAATATTCAATAATCTAGTCACGTTTGTTGTCATTTAAATGGACTGTTAAACATTGCCATTATTACCATTTAGCAGTTGTGCTTAAGACATTTCATTAACCTGAAAGTAAAGTCTGTGTGCATCACTTATTTTCTAAGTTGGTTATGTTTTGTGACACAATTGTTTCGCATGGTAGAATTACAATTAATTTTTTTCCTTTTCTTTTCAAATGTTCTTAATTTGTCACTATTTCCTCTCAATTCCATAGATTGATCATTAGTCACCTAATGTAATGTAACATATGGTATTTGTTGCTAATCTTTTCGAGCGCTCATTTTCCCTGAATTTCCCTGACTTTGATCTCTTTTTATAGGGATGAAAAAGGAAAGAAAGATAGATTCTGTGTTGGTGAAGGAAGAGGCAGCTGAACAAAAAAAAAGAAAGAGACTTGCTCCTCAAACTGATGAGGAGCCCAGTGTCTCGCGTAAAATGCCAAAACGCTCTGCTGCCTGTTTAGACTTTAAGGAGAAACCTCTTCGTATATCCAAAAAAGACTCAGTTATTGAGACAAATAGAGACTGGAGTGTACAGGAAGAAGCTGTTGCTGTTCGTCTGACAGCTGGAAAAGAAAATGGCCGCCCATGTAGAAGACTTGTCGATTTCATTTTTCACAATAAAGACGGAATCTCACAGCCTTTTGAAATGCTAGAAGTCGATGACATTTTTATCTCTGGTCACATCTTACCACTTGAAGAATGTGCTGACATAGAAAAACCAAAGGGTGTCAAATGTGAAGGCTTTGGACGTATAGAAGAATGGGCCATCTCTGGTTATGAAGATGGATCACCAGTTATATGGGTGTCAACGGTTATTGCGGACTATGATTGTATCAAACCATCAAGTAGTTACAAGAAGTTCTATGATCATTTCTATGCAAAGGCTAGTGCGTGTGTAGAGGTTTACAAGAAACTCTCAAGATCTTATGGAGGAAATCCTGATATAACCCTTGATGAATTGCTTGCTGGGGTTGTCCGTGTAATGAGTGGTATGAAGTTCTTCTCCCGTGGTGTATCTATCAGGGATTTCATTGTTTCTCAGGGTGAGTTCATCTATAACCAACTTATAGGTTTGGATGAGACATCAAAGAAGAATGATAAGTTATTTATTGAGCTACCTGTTCTTGGTGCCTTAAGGGATGAGAGCAGCAATCTAGTAGATCTTGCTCAAGCTTGGACTGAGTCTTCACATGGGAGTCTGAGAATTGGTCCAAAATCTGGAGATCAAGAAAATAAAATGAAAAAATCTGCTACATCTTGTCCAGACGAAGAAAACGATGATTTAAAATTGGCAAGGCTATTACAGGAAGAAGAGCGCTGGCACTCAATGAAGCAGAAGAAAAACCATGGTTCAGCACCATCTAGCAAATACTACATTAAGATCAATGAGGACGAAATCGCAAATGACTACCCGCTACCTGCATATTACAAGACATCCAGTGAAGAGACAGATGAGTATATGGTCTTTGACCATGGCGTTGGCTATGTTGATGAATTGCCAAGAAGCATGCTCCACAACTGGGCTTTGTACAACTCAGACTCTAGACTGATTTCACTAGAGCTCCTCCCCATGAAACCATGTGCTGAAATTGATGTGACAATATTTGGGTCAGGGGTTGTGACTGCTGATGATGGTTCTGGATACAATTTTGATGGCGAGTCCACTCACTCTCTTTCAAGTGGATCTGGGACTTCTGAAATTGATGGTATTCCAGTTTATTTGAGTGCAATTAAGGAGTGGATGATTGAGTTTGGATCCTCGATGGTTTTTATTTCGATACGGACTGATATGGCCTGGTATACCTTTTACTCCCCACTTCCTGTTCAACAAAATAAAAACCTCTAGCTCCTCTGCTCTTTTTTTTCTTCAGACGTGCATGGTTAGATTCTTTTAAAACTAAGAAAGCATTTATTAGAAGCATTTTTGGGTCTTGTTTTGATATATTACTTGAAATATTGCATGAAGTGTACCTCCTACACCTATAAAGAGTTTAATTCTGAAACTTGTTTGCACAGAGGAAGTGTCTTGGTTATAGCATAGTGAATTTGTCAACTTGTTTAGCAGAAGTTAAGATTATAGTAAGTAGGTTGAGAACAGATATCAATTTTTTGGGTCATCTAAGTGCATTATAATGCTTTTTTCATGAATGATGAGAGTTATTTTCCTTCAATTTCTTAAGGTATAGACTTGGAAAACCTTCAAAACAATATGAGTCTTGGTATAAACCGGTTCTCAAAACTGCAAGGCTTGCAATTTGTATAATTTCTCTGTTAAAGGATCAGTCCCGGGTAGCAAGGCTTTCTTTCTTGGATGTCATCAAGAAGGTGTCAGATTTTGACAAAGATCACCCGGCTTATGTATCATCTAATCCAGGTGTTGTAGAAAGATATGTGGTTGTACATGGACAGATTATTCTGCAACAGTTTTTAGAATATCCTGATCAAAATATTAAGAAGTGTGCATTTGTGATTGGCTTAACCAAGAAAATGGAAGAGAGGCACCATACCAAATGGCTTGTCAAGAAGAAGAAGCTTTTGCAGAGGGATGAGTCAAACCTGAATCCCAGAGGTGGAATGGCACGTGCCATTTCTAAGAGGAAGTCTATGCAGGCAACAACAACCAGGCTAATCAGCAGAATCTGGGGGGAATACTATTCAAATTACTTACCGGATGAATTGAATGAGGGAATAAATTGTGAGGTTAAAGAGGAGGATGATGTTGAAGAGCAAGAGGAAAAGGAAGATGATGATGTTCCGGAGGAGAACTTGGTAGTTCCAGAAAAAAATCAGAAACCTTGCTCTGCACCTAAACGGACTAAGTCATGTTCAAGTAACAAGGAAACAAAATGGGATGGGGAATCTTTTGGCAAAAGAGCTACAGGTGAAGCTTTATATAAACAGGCCATCGTCCAGGGAGATGTGGTAACTGTTGGGGGGGCAGTTTTGATACAAGTTGACGAATCTGATGATCTTCCAGCCATCAGTTTTGTGGAGTACATGTTTAAAAGATTGGACGGGAGTAAAATGTTTCATGGAAGAATGATGCAGAGAAGCTGCCAAACAGTATTAGGAAACACGGGAAATGAAAGGGAAATATTTCTGACAAATGAGTGCATGGACTTTGAACTGGAAGACATACAACAAATCATAATGGTGGATATAAGATCGATGCCTTGGGGTCATGAACACAGAAAAATGAATGCCAATGCTGATAAAGTTGATAGAGAAAGGGCAGAAGAAAGGAAGAAAAAAGGATTGCCAATTGAATATTACTGTAAAAGTTTGTATTGTCCTGATAGAGGTGCTTTCTTCACTCTTCCATTTGGTTCAATGGGTCTTGGATCTGGCTTTTGTGAATCTTGCAAAATAAAGGATGCTGATGGTGATAAAGAAAGTTTTAAATTGAATGCATCAATGATCAGTTTTATATACCAAGGAACTGAATACTTTACATATGACTATGTCTATGTTAGCCCTAGTTTCTTTTCTGCTGAAAGGGAGGGTGAAATTTTCAAGGGTGGAAGAAATGTGGGATTGAAGGCATACGTTATATGTCAGCTAACTGAAATTAGTGGGCCAAAGCGATCTAAACAAGATGATGCAAGTTCTATTCATGTCAAAATCAGAAGATTTTTCAGACCAGAGGACATCTCAGTTGATAAAGCATACTGTTCAGATATTCGAGAGGTAGTAGATAGTTTACATATAAACAAACCAGGATATTTTATGCCTACATTATTCTTAGTTAAAGTCTGTACCACATGATTATCTTGATTATTGAATATGAACTTTGATAAATTACAAATTGAATTTCAGTGCGATATTTTTGATCACTTGCTGTCTTCTCTGGGTGGTTGGTCAGATCTATTATTCTGAAGAAATGCATACTGTACCAGTTGATATGATTGAAGGAAAATGTGAGGTAAGGAAAAAGCAGGACCTGCCTCAAGATGTCCCTGCAATCTTTGAACATGTTTTCTTCTGTGAATATCTGTATGATCCTTCCAAAGGATCCATCAATCAGGTAATGTCCATCCTTTTCCAGTAATACATTCTGACTAGAATGATTTTTACTCTCATTCTATATTCCAGCTTGTTGGCTATTTCTCAGTTCCTTTCAAATTCCAATTTCTTATATTCTGGTTAATGTTCCAATGCTGTCCACTAGCAGTTGCCATCTCACATTAAACTACAGTACTCGTCTGGGAAGTCAAATGATGATGCTATGTCTCGGAAGAAAAAGGGTAAAGGTAAAGAAGGAGAGAATGATTTGGAAGAAGGGAAACTGAAAGAAGTATCTCTAGAGGACCGCTTAGCTACTCTAGATATATTTGCTGGTTGTGGTGGCTTATCTGAGGGGCTGAAGCAATCAGGTAACCTTCAGTCTTTCAGTGCTTGTTGCATTAAATAAAATGTATCAATTCATTGTGAGTAGTCTCTTATTTGGTTATTATGCCTCTAATCGTCAGGTGCATCTGTTACAAAATGGGCTATTGAGTACGAAGAGACTGCTGGAATTGCATTTAAACTCAACCATCCAGAGTCAACAGTGTTTGTGAACAATTGCAATGTCATCCTGAGGTTAGACTTTCAATGTTTACAATATTAAACACACGTACACAGAAAACACAATGTATCAGTGTACCAAGATTAGATATTGGAAATGGAAAAACAACAGTTTATGATGCAGGGCGATCATGCAGAAGTGTGGGGACGTAGATGACTGCATTTCAACCTCCGAGGCCACTGAATTGGCTGCATCTCTGGGCCAGGAGGAGATTGATAATCTGCCGCTGCCAGGAGAAGTGGATTTTATCAATGGTGGGCCTCCTTGTCAGGTTTGATTGAGCAATGTGGTCCATAGATCCTAACAAATAGATGACTATTGACTATTGTTACTAAAGAAGATATGATTCGTCTTGCAGGGTTTTTCTGGAATGAATAGATTCAATCAGAGCACTTGGAGCAAAGTTCAATGTGAGATGATTTTAGCATTTCTATCGTTTGCTGACTACTATCGTCCAAAGTTTTTTCTCCTTGAGAATGTGAGGAACTTTGTGTCTTTCAACCAAGGACAGACATTTCGCTTAACTTTAGCGTCTCTTCTTGAGATGGGATATCAGGTATAATACTCTTGTACTCATGATAACCAAATTCTGAAATTAATGCCAAAAAATATATGCATTTATTTTTTTCTTCTCATGGACAGGTGAGATTCGGTATCCTTGAAGCTGGTGCATATGGAGTTCCTCAGTCTAGGAAGCGAGCATTCATATGGGCAGCCTCTCCAGAAGAGGTTCTTCCTGAGTGGCCAGAACCAATGCATGTCTTTGCTGCACCAGAGCTGAAAATAACATTATCAGGAAATTCCCAATATTCTGCTGTTAAGAGTACCACAAGAGGTGCTCCATTTCGTTCTCTTACAGTCAGAGATACTATTGCAGATCTCCCACCTGTGGACAATGGTGCATCAGAGATGACTTTGCAGGTACTATTTTGTTTGCACCATGCAAGATAGATTAATGAAAAGTGAGCAACTGAACTATACAACTTATTCTGGGTTGATATGCAAATGCTGATACTGGGAGAGGACCTCTAGTAGACTTCAGATGAATATGAATTTTCACTCTTGCTTTTTGATGTTTGGCAGTATAAAGGAGAACCTATTTCTTGGTTCCAGAAGAAAATTCGAGGTAACATGGAGATACTAAAAGATCACATAGCAAAAGAAATGAATGAGCTTAATCTAATCAGGTGTCAAAGAATCCCCAAGCGCCCAGGTGCTGATTGGCGTGACCTTCCAGATGAGAAGGTATCAACATATTACTAAATAGGCCATTAACCGGAGTCCTGGGAGCTCCATTCTTATGGTCTTACTTCTATCTTACTGAAGATATATATTTTGCTCTCATACTATTGAACTCGATATGTTTCAATTTGCAGGTCAAATTATCTACTGGCCAAATGGTTGATCTGATACCTTGGTGCTTACCAAATACAGCCAAGAGGCACAATCAATGGAAGGGGCTTTTTGGAAGGTTAGATTGGGATGGAAATTTTCCAACTTCCATAACGGATCCCCAACCAATGGGTAAAGTGGGAATGTGCTTCCATCCTGAGCAAGACAGGATCGTCACGGTTCGAGAGTGTGCACGCTCTCAAGTAAGTATACTTGTCTGATTTGTTCAATAATATGCAAAGTGATAGACGGGATATATTATTGGGCTTGGTTTCGTATCAAGCTGCTGGAAACTTTGCTGCAGTATTTCTTTCAATTGCTTGAAATTCTTGTTACGAAATGAAACTTTATCTATCGATGCAGGGTTTCCCAGACAGTTATCAATTTTCTGGTACTGTTCTACACAAGCACCGGCAGATTGGAAATGCTGTTCCTCCTCCTCTGGCATATGCACTGGGGAGAACACTAAAGGAAGCAATTGAGAGTAAAAGGTCTATGTAGCATGTCTGCTAGTGTCTTTCTTAAAGAGATTTATAGATAATTCTTCATCCCTCACAATGTCAATCTTATATCATGTCACAATTTTTTGTTTTGATGTAAAAACTTGAGCTAATGATGTCTGTTGTCCAAGTTACAATTTTTGCAAATAAATTTTTTATTTTTATTTTTTGAATGACTTGTGTGAATTGGAGCTATTTGAACTTAACTCGTTCGGCTCAGTTACCGTTACAGTTGATCTGATTTTTGATTCTAATTTGGTTTCAAGAAATTTTTTATAATCTCTAGATTAAATTATAATTTGTATGCATTAACATATAATTAGAATAATCAACAGTTTTGTTGCTTGAAATAAAAAGCATAAAAGCACAAAATTTTATACTTTACAGTTTATTATTGAAGCATTAAAGTAATTAATTGGTCCAGTTTTCTAGCTCATAGAATTAGAATTTGAGTGGAAAAAAAATAAATTATAAGGAATTGAATTGCTTAAAATTTGTTTTTTGGGAATTGTAATTAATTTTGTTTGATTTGTATAATTTTTCATCTAAAAAATGTTGAAAGTTTTGTGTCCGTTTGACTTCTTTTTTATGGAAATTGTTCATTAAAGTACTAATTTTTTTTTATCATTGGGTCTAGAATTTGTTCTCATTACAAAAAAATTAAATTTTTTTTTTAAAAGTTACTATATCGAATATCATTCGTTTGACTTTGTTTTGTATGGAAATTGTCAATAAAAGTGATAATTTTTTTATCATTGTATCTAGAATTTTTTTTAATTGCCCAAAAAAAAAAAAATCACCTAAAAGGTGGGAAAATCAATTCATCAAAAACCAGGAAAATCAGTCACAGCAAAGCAAGAAAATGATTTCCATGAAAAAAAGAGCCATCAAACAAGCTAAAAGTAGGAAATGGAATTTGAATTCTATTTTCCATGAAAAAAATTGGCCAATCAAACATTGCGTAATGGTTCTATTTACACAATTCTTAATAGGAATTAAGTGGAAATTACGTCGCATACATTGTTCTATTAAATGTCTTTTAAACGAAAAATATTGCATTTTTTACTAAACCAAAAATATTGCATTTTATGCAGTAAAAATACCAAATACAAAAAAAAAAAAAAAAAAATTGTGTCTCTCATCAACTAATTGATTCCATGGCTGTAATCACTCCACCAAACACATCTCAATACTCTCGGTTATAGCGCCAAAAAATTCCCAAATCGTAGTCTTACTCTTTGGATGAAGAATAAAAAAAGGGTAATTGGCGCAAAACGTCCCTACCTTTGCCTATCTTTGTGGAAAACGTCCCTACCTTTCATTTCTTGACGCAAAACGTCCCTACCTTTCACTTTTTGTGTGCAAAACGTCATTTTCCCTAATTTTTAACGTAAAATGACTATTATACCCTCCAATTTAAATAAAACAAAAAGGAAAAGAAAAGAAAAATAAAAAAAATTGTAATCTTACTCATAGACTTTTTTAAAAAGGCAAATCAGTCCAAAACTTATAAAAAATGGGTGTTGGTGACACACACTGCTTTCTTCCCGCGAATCCCACCTCCAGCACCATTATCCTTGCAAACCCAATTTCCAAAACCAGCCAATTTCTCCATGGTCAGGCTTCGAAATGCAGCGGAGTTGAAGAAAAATGGAGACCCATCAAGGAAATTCTATGAGTAATTTATCTTTGATCCTCACAAGATTGACCCACAATTGCTTCAAAAAATGGAATATGATGCCCTCGTATGGAGTTCCCTTCATGGCCTTCTTGTATTACTGACTTCTGAAATTTAATTTGTTTCATCAGGCCATTAATGAAATTAATTCAATTGAAATCGAAAGTTTTCTTTATTTCATCTCCTTCTTCTTTTATGTAATTGAAAAACATCATTTTTCCCTGTTACATTCTTTTATGCAAATCAGTCCAAAACAAGGGGGGATCGAAGATTGGGGAGGTAATTAGAGAAAAGGGGGAAGAGGAAGAGGAAGAGAATAGTAAGAGTGGTGAAGATTTGGATGGGAAGGAGATTGCAAATGAGGAGGTAGAAAGAGAATTTGATTTAACTAATAGGGAAGACTTGGATCAAGAAGCTGTTGATGATGAAAATAAGGTTTCAAGAAGCAGAAAGAAGAAAAAGAAATTGGGTCCTTTATTTGCTCCGGCAGATTTCCGGCACAGGTAATGCACCACCAGCTCCTCATCGGTTGGATGGAACCTGAACCCCTCCGGCATTTCCAACTTCTGATGATTTTGATCGCCACCATCCTCCATTCACTCTAGAATTTCTTACACGTTTCACTGGTGAGTTTAATTTTCCCAACTCTCAAAGGCTGGCAGGAAACAAAGAAACTGAAATGTCTATACATGGGATTTTCTTGCGGTAGTGGGGTGGGTGGTAAGGGAAGGGCAAGTAGAGAATGGAGGTTGGTGAGTGAAATGGCGGTGGAAGAGAGAAGGGACTCCACGGTGAGAGGTTGTGGCTGGCGAAGACGGCGGGCGGCCCGGTTGGAGGGAGGCGACGGGTTGTAGAGAGAGAATGATGGGAGATAATTAGGGTTTGTGACGTGGGGTGAAATTAAATTAGTGTTTTGGACTGATTTGCCTTTTTAAAAAAGTTTAGGAGTAAGATTACAATTTGTTTTTTATTTTTCTTTTTGTTTTATTTAAATTGGAGGGTGTAATGGTTATTTTATGTTAAAAATTAGGGAAAAGGACGTTTTGCACACAAAAAGTGAAAGGTAGGGACGTTCTGCGTCAAGAAATGAAACGTAGGGACGTTTTCCACAAAGATAAGTAAAGGTAGGAACGTTTTGCGCCAATTACCCATAAAAAAATTACCATTGATTTGAAGAATTTCCCCATTCTCAATCACAATCACAAATCCACATCCAAATCTAGGTTTTATTTCGCATTTACCCGATTTCTCTACTGTTTTCGAAATCCATAATAGCCATGAAAACGAGTAAATATCCAACCTAATTTCGAAATATGGAAACATCAAATCGCCGTTCAACATAGCGCTCACTCGGAGGTGCACCAAATTGACTAAGCTGGCATGCGTAACTTTTTATTTACATACAGTTTGTACTTATCAAATATAATGCAATACTCTTCTTCATCAAGTTCTTATCCCGAAAAATCTTATTCACAGTAACACATTCATCATCAGTTGTTGATATAGTACCATGGTTTTTTTTTTTTTCAACTTCTTCTTGTAGCAAATGTGATATCTGCATCCTTGAGGCAAACTCGTGTATTGTTGGAATTGTGAAAGATGACTGCGTCAAAACTTCAAAGATTCCTGCAGGTTCCAAATCAGGAGCCAACGGTGAATATGACCTGTCCAAACGTAGGTCACATTCAGCAGCGAATTATTCATCAACAACATTACAGTTCAACAATTCTTCAATTTCAACGCATAGTGCATAAGCCGTTAAATGGGGATCCTTCCTCTTTAGCTCAATGTAGAAAAAAAGAGTGGTCATTTGTAATCCTAACTTGGGATAGGTTTCCAGCCACTGCGTATTCTATTTTCAACCCGACATTGTTGCTATAAAACTTCATCTATACTGAGATCATCTGAACTAGATGCACATACTTGCAACCACAAGGTATGAGCAATCCGAAAGTCCTTGATTTGCAAGTTATGAAGACATTCACAGAGTCCATTATTGCAATAGGACAAAAATAGAAATTATAAGAACATTTGAATTGACAAGATACATTTTTTTTTATAACCGTGGATGTTCGGGCCAGTTTGCGAGCACTTCGATTAATCCCACGGGGCCCTGAAGTTTACGGTTGGGTATTCATCTAAGTGACCTTGAGGGCACTCGAACTAGTGACCATTGTGGAACAAGCTCAAAACCTGACCAATTGAGCAACCCCTCAATGTTAAATTGACCAGATACATAGCTACAACGAAAATATCACTATCTGATGCATCGAATGGTATCCTCGAACCTACTCTGTTTGTTACTACTATTACGGTATTATCTACCTCAATTAATCGAAGATATCTAACGTTTTTTTAGTAAACAATTTGTGTTTTTGTATCACCATTATCAATACATTCCACATAGCTCAACAACTTATTCATCCTAATTACAAATTATTGCAAACACATTAAAATATATCACATAAGGTTAATGGTGTTATACGCGTGGAAGAGTAAAAATCAAACAATATAACAACTACATATTCATCAAAAGTGTTGGAAATATGTAATAAAATCTGGAAAAAACTAATGAACTCCAAGGCATGAAAAACGTTATCTTTTAAGAGATGTTTCTCCCCTTTCCAAAAAAGTCACGACCGGGGTATGATAGAAAATCTCTCTTAGGATACAATGGAGGCGTTTGATTCAAATTGTGAATATTTGATTAAACTAAGAAAACACTTTATAACGAAACTGATGATGCCAAGAGAAAAAAGAGAAGAATATAAAATAACGAATTTTTTAATGTGTCTTGCAAATGAGAATTCGCCCAGAATATATAGAAATGGAGGCAACCTTTTGAATAGGTGTGTCCCTTGAAATGAATGGACGCATCTATTGAAGAAACATACCTATTCAAAGTCTTCTGAAAATAAAATTCTCTTTCGGGGGCGTTGCCCCCGAGCTCCCACGGGGGGCACTGCCCCCTCGACCCCCGCGACTTGACCGGGCAGGTCGATCCCCGTTGCGTAGCGGCAAACACTAGTCGGGGCGGCAAAACATTCGCAAAACAAAAGATAACACATGCAAAATGATGAAAAATATCTAATAAAAAGTAAACCAAAATTTCATATCAACATATGTAACAAGCTATGACTGATTAACTTCCCAGTGCTTCAGAGACGCTGTAAGTGAGATGGTGATATGCATAAATCATTTACATTTCAAATGGCGATATGTGTATATGTTAAATTACAGTAATTAAAGCAAACAACTCGTAAACATTCCATTGCTACTAGTCAAGAATCATATTCAATTCCAAATGACCCAAAAAATTGGACTTCAAAAACAGAGATACTATGGAATATCTAAAGTTGCAGGAATCTTGGTTAAAAATTAGATATGCACATATTACATTTAATCATTTTGTAAAAAAAAAATTCTTGAAGATAATTCAGCAGGATCACTCATCGAACGTCACACACGATGAGTATCTCATTGATATCAATCCGCTACGATCGCTGATGGCCAGTAATCTCAATTCATCTGTTAATAGTATTTGTAGCAAGCAACTTCATTTTGAATTTGAATCTCCATATATGATCAGCCTTTGAATTTTAATTCCACCCGTTTTCTCTCCCTTAGAAAATTGTTAGTTATATATCCAAAAATGAAAGTTTATTGTACAGTACGTTTGGGATTCTAATGGTGTTATGTAGTATTTTCGGTAATTAATTGGATTTAATATTATAAAATGAATTATTATATATTAATCAGGTATATATGATTTTTTTCCCTCAAGAAACTTGGATTGAACCTCTTTGGTTACTCGTATTTTAATTTAATAGAAGATGGTTGTTGATAGAATATACAAGACAAAGAGGAGGGAAAGTGTTCAAAGACATTCACTAAAAATGATGGAACACGGCTTATACATATAGCCATACATTTTGGTACAATTCAAAATGATTTCCAACAACTATTCTACCTAACACCACTCTTCCATTCTTGGCTGCACAATGGACAGTTGCAGTACCTAACTTGCTTGAATTATAATACATAACTTAAGCAAATATAAGTTAAAAAATATATATCAAACAAATGATAACAAAAACATATTGGTTGACAACAAAAGTGTCACATATCACACGGTTCATCACTCCTCATCGACACTTTTGTTGGAAACACCGAGACATCCTCTTAGTGTTTCAAACCTCTCCTTAGGCAACGCTTTAGTGAAGATATCAGCAACCTGATCTTCTGAACTGTAATACCTCAATTCCACTGCTTTCCTTTCTTGTGCTTCCCTTATAAAATGATACAGGATGTTTATGTGTTTTGTTTTTCCATAGAACATAGGATTTTTCACAATTGCTACAACATATTGATTGTCACAAAGAATGGTAGTTGCTTCAGTTTGTTGGTGCCTCAGATCCTTCGGAATTTTCCTTAACCATATTGCCTGATTGGTTACCTCTGTTGTTGTTATATACTCTACTTCAGCAGTGGATTGTGCCACCCTTTTTTGTTTGATTGAATTTCAGCAGACAATGCTTGAACCAGCATAAAAGGCATAGCCTAAAGTACTCTTCATGTCATCAGCAGAACCGGCCTAATCACTATCAGTAAAACCTGTTAAAAATAGAGTTTTTGACTTTCCAAAACTTATTCCAAAGTTCTTTGTTCCTCTAATGTACCTCAGCACCCTTTTTGCAGCTTAGAGGTGAATTTCACTTGGCTCTTGCCTGAATCTAGACAGCAGGTTAACAGCAACATAAGATCTGGTCTTGTGGCTGTTAAGCAGAGCAAACATCCAACCAAGCTCCTATAGATTTTCTCATCTGTTTTCTTTGCACCATCATCATTCATCAACTTTGAATTCTGAACTAAAGGAGTGTAAACTAATTTGGAATTCTCCATATTGAACTTTTTTAACAGTTCTTTAGCGTACCTCTTTTGGGAAACAAAAATACCATCTTTTGTTTGATCTATTTCCATTCTAAGAAAGTATTTCATTTCTCCCAAGTCTGTTATCTCAAAATCCTTCTTCAATTCATTCTTTACCTCTTCAATTAAGGTTGCATTACTTCCTGTGATTAGAAGCTCAGCTACATACATTGAAATAATAAGCAAATCCTCCTCCACTGATTTGATGTAGAAAGTTTGTTCATTAACATTTTTGCTGAAACCAAGGCTGCACAGATGATTATCTATTCTGCTACACCAACTTTTTGGCGCTTGCTTCAAGCCATATAAGACTTTCCTTAATAGATACACCTTATCCTTTTTTCCTTCTTTGATGAAGCCTTCAGGTTGTTGAATGAAAATCTCTTCATTTAGATGCCCATTCAGGAAGACAGATTTAACATCCAGCTGGTATATCTTCCATTCTGATTGAGCAGCTATTGTAAATAACAACTTTATTGTTTCAAGTCTGACAACAGGAGAAAATTATCTGATGCTACCAAAAATTCATGCCTGGATTGACTCGAACCAGATGATTGAACTCTGCACACTCTGATCTTCAATCCCTGAAACAAAGGCGACGAAGTGTGTCATCGTCGCTCCTCCGATGCTTAAGTCAGAGAGAGGAATTACAAAATATTGTATGTTGGAATATTATTGAATAACGTAGCTGAATGATGAGGCTAGGTCTTGTATTTATACAGAGTGGGGGTTGAGTCCTAAAAGACTCAACTAACTCTGGTACTTATCCCTGTTATAAAAGGTGTTTGGGTTATAATTGAATTTGTAATAAGTTGGGGTGTTGTATTCAGATAGGATTAGCGTTTTTAGATTATGTACGATAAGAACAAGAGACGGGTGAGTTAGGGCTGATATCCGACCTAGTCTACTAGACCCGATCTCAACCCGAGACCCGACCTTGCTACCTGCCCAATAATGATGGGCCAAGGTCAGGCCCACAAGATCGAGTTCGGGCATAACATCTTCTACACCCATCATAGGCCTCTGTGCATCTAGGTCGCAGCTGAAGTTGTGGTCCTCGAGTTACGAGATGAGATGCAAAAAGAGGGAACAGCCCGAGAAAGACCTGGTATGTGCGTAACAGTTGTGTTTGACACGTGTCAGACGTGTGGTGAGTAGTTGAAGATAGACCTTGGATGGCTGACACGTGGCTTAATCCACGGTCCAGGATTGTGAGACCTTTGACCCCTATAAATACCCCCATTTTTCACTTTTTCACTCTTAACTCTCAGTAAAAGCAGTTCGAGGTCGGGGATGTAGAGGTTTGTGATCGACCACTTTAAGAGGTAAGTGTTCGAGCTTATAAGTTATTTATTTTGAGTAGTATAATGTCTAGTAGTAGTAGTGAGGAGTCGAGGAGTAGTAGTAGCCAGTCCTCAGGAGCTCGACCACCATGAGCCCCGAGGACATGGGTGTAGCCCTCATCCCTATAGCAGTCTCTTTAAGCTAGCACCCAGAGGTCGAGACTAATCTGACTTACCCTAGAGAGTTGACCAAATGTAAAGAACACGTGGTTATAAAGGTTTCTAGAGAGTTCTAGGTTATGCTTTTGTGCGATGTGAGGACCCCCAAGCCTAATGACTCTGTGATAGATGCTCGGGATAGGGAGATGACCTTTCTTAGAGATGCCCTTAAGGCAGGGCTCAGATGGCCTCTTCACCCTTTCTTCGTTCACTTCCTTAATTTTTACCTAATGTGCCCGGGTCAGTTGGTCCCGAACAGCTGGAGGCTGTTGGTCTATTTTTTCATTTTGTGTAGGTGCCTTGAGATCAAGCCAAGACTCGAG